CTTTCCTTCTTTCTCTTTCTTCCGTTCTCTTTCTCTTTCTTTTTCTTTCTTTTTTTCTTTCTCTTATTCTTTTTCTTTTTCTTTCTTTCTTTCTCTTTCTTCTGGTATCCTGGGCATTAGTTTTGGTCACAAACTCCTCAAAAACATGAAATTCATCTTCACTGACACATTCATCTGTGTTAGATCTATCACTTAGGAAGAGAAGAGGCCCAGATTCGCTGGGAAGTCACATATTTCTTACCGCTAGGCATGCTGAGCAAGGACTACTGAAATGGCATTCCCACAGTGCACCACTGGCTCCCTGATTTTTTTTTTTATAGTGCACACACTGACCATGGAGATCCATTCTCTCACATGTGGGCCTACCAGCTTTCTCCTGCTTGATTTGATGCCGCTAGAATTTTGGCATATTAATACGTCGAACACAGTGGCTCATAAGATGTATATATACGACTGAAACAGTCAAAGGGTTTAAGTAGGGCACAAAGTGACAGAAATATTTGATTTTTTTTAATTTACCTGAAGAAGGGTAGAGCCCCCCAAACCCCCCAATTTCATGGATTTTTATTATGTCTGCATCAATTATTGATGGCCTAAGCCATCACCAGTCATTCTTGGTTATATTTTATTCGAGAAATGTGATAAAAACTTTGATTTTTTGTGTATGATGGATTCAAAATGGAGGGCAAGAGTTAGGAGAGGCCTGGGGATGTGATTAATGAACAGAAGATATACTGTGTTGATAGCTGAATGGGTGGTTTCTTGTGCTCAGTAAATAAAATGGAAGGCATACTAATAAATTAATCAAGAATTTGGTTGAGTTGAGCAATGGAATTAGCTTAAAATAGAACTCTTAGTGGGGAAACAAATCACTGATGTGTAAATTGTGCCCAGTTTGCTAACTTTGGACCTATGCAGTTCCATAAGTTTTCCATCAAATGTAAGGAGGAACTTGGTAAACCATTATGTAGGCTTTTCATCATATCACTACAAACTGGCATAGTGCCAGATAAGTGAAAAATGGTAAATGTAATACTGATCTACAATGCAGGAGACAGGTCATTAGTTTGGAATTGTAGACCAATTAACCTAACCTCCACTGTGGGAAAATTGATGGAATCGGTTATTACCAAGGCGATTTGAAACCACCTTGAAGACATAAATTGATCAGCGAGTCTCAACATGCCTTTACAAAAGGGTTTTCCTGCCATAACATTGTATTCATTGTAAACTCACCTAATGACCTTACGTACAAATTTACTGCACTGTTATTGCCTTATTAATCTTAGGTTAGTCTTAAGTTTGCCCATAATGCTCTGCATATAAAGGGGCTTTTGGCATGTACACCCAATTGTTGCACTCCTTTGTACAAACATGTATTATGCTGAAATAAAATTATTATTATTATGAATTTACGGTACAGACACTCCTCACTTAACGACCTACCTGTTTAACCCTTAAACTGTCCGAATGTAGATCTACATTTGTTCGCGTAGCGCTCTGAACGTAGAGCTACTTTTTTTTTTACATTGTTTCTTATGGAGAAAATCAAGGCCGGAGCGCTACGCGCGCCAACGTTGATCTACGTTTGGACAGTTTAAGGGTTAATGATCACACGGACTTACGACCAGTTCTCCAACCAGTCAGTATTGTATGCTGTATGAGAACTTGCTCAAGGGAGAGCTGACTAATGAAGATTTAATAGAGTTGGAAGTGCAGCAGCACTTGGAAGAGGAAGAAGAGGAGGAAAGTATGGAAGAAGTACAAAAAGAAGTTCACTGTAAAGGGGTTAGTTGGTATGTTCTGGAAAGTGAATGTGGAATGGAACTCAGTCATTAAGTGAGGAGTGCCTGTATTAACTTTTTTTCATTAGGGTATTTGAGGAGGTAGATCATGGTAATGAATATGATATTGTGCATATGGACTTCAGTAAGGTCTTTGTAGAGTTCCACACAGGAGGAAATATTTTCCTGGATCAAGACATGGTTGACAGGCAACCAAGAATTTAACTGGGGAACACAGCTTGTGTTCCATAGGGGTTAGTGTTGTACTCTTTGTTTTTCACAGTATACATAAAAGATATAGATGGATAAATTATCATCAACATAAGGAAGTTTGCTAATGATACATAAATAGGCTGTCAGATTAATTCTGATGGGGACATTAGAGCACTATAAGAAGATCTGGAAAGTTTGATGCAGTGGTTGGAGAAGTGGCAGATGCAGTTTAATTAGCCTGGGAAAAGAGAATAACCATGGCATTTATAAACTGATTAGTGTAGATTTCAGTCACTCAGAATACAAAAAAGGTTTAGGAGTTCTGGTTAGCAGTAATCTAAAGCCAGGATAACAGTGCACAAGTGTTTGCAATAAGCTAATAGAATTCTTGGCTTCACATCAAGAAGTACATATAAATAATAGGAGTCCTCAGGTTATACTTTAACATTTCATATCCTTGGTAATGCCTCGTTTAGATTATGCTGCACAGCTCTGGTCACTGTATTACAGAATGGACATAAATGCACTGGAAAACATACAGAGAAGGATGACAAAGTTGATCCCATGTATCAGAAATCATTCTGACGAGGATAGACTGAGGGCCCTGAATCTTCGCTCTGTGGAAAAGTGTAGAATTAGGGAGGATATGATTGAGGTGTATGAGAGACAGGAATAAATAAAGGAGATATAAATAATATGCTAAAACTGTCTAACCAAGACAGGACTTGCAGCAATGGGTTTAATTTGGAAAAAATTAAATTCAGAAAAGATGTAGGAAAGCATTGCTTTGGTAATCGAGTTGTAGATGAGCAAAACAAACTCTGAAGTAGCATCACTGAAGCAAAAACCTTGCGTAGCTATAAAAATGGATTAGAAAAGTACTCGAGTGGGTGTCAGTTGGACCTACCTAGCATGGGCCAGCAGACTCGTACAGTGCCAGTCTCCACCATTTCAGAAGAACTTTTTATTTTTTTTTTTTAAATGTGGACACTGAGCACTTTTAATTTCTGGACTTTGGACAGTGAAGGGGTTAATTTTCTTTACAGACTTAATCTTTCTTTCAACACACTGGCTGTATCCCACCAAGGTGGGGTGACCCAAAAGGGAAAATGCAAGTTTCTCCTTTTACATTTAGTAATATATACAGGAGAAGGGGTTACTAACCCCTTGCTCCCGGCATTTTAGTCGCCCCTTATGACAAGCATGGCTTGTGGAGGAAGAATTCTGTTCCACTTCCTCATGGAGATAAGAGGAAATAAACAAGAACAAGAACTAGTAAGTAAATAGAAGAAAACCCAGATGGGTGTGTATATATATGCTTGTACATGCAAGTGTAGTGTGACCTAAGTGTAAGTAGAAGTAGCAAAATGTACCTGAAATCTTGCATGTTTATGAGACAGGAAAAAGGACACCAGCAATCCTACCATCATGTAAAACAATTACAGGCTTTCGTTTTACACTCGCTTGGCAGGACGGTAGTACCTCCCTGGGTGGTTGCTGTCTACCAACCTACTACAGTGGACCCCCGGTTCGCGATATTAATCCATTCCTGAGAGCTCATTGTAAACTAAAATTATCGGAAAGCGAATCAATTTTCCCCATAAGAAATAATGGAAATCAAATTAATCCATGCAAGACACCCAAAAGTATGAAAAAAAAAAACTTTTACCACATGAAATATTAAGTTTAATGCAATAGAATAATTACAAAAACAACAATAACAATAGAATAATTGACACTTACCTTTAATGAAGATCTGGTGATGATTGATGGGATGGGAGGAGGGGAGAGTGTGGATGGTGTTAGCATTTAGAAGGGGAATCCCCCTCCATTAGGACTTGAGGTAGCAAGTCCTTTTCTGGGGTTACTTCCCTTCTTCTTTTAATGCCACTAGGACCAGGTTGAGAGTCACTGGACTTGTGTCGCACAACATATCTGTCCATAGAGGCTTGTACCTCTCGTTCCTTTATGACTTTCCTAAAGTGGTTCACAACGGTGTCATTGTACAGGTTGCCAACACAGCTTGCAGTAGCTGTCTGAGGGTGATTTTCATCAAAAAAGCTTTGCACTTTAAGCCACATTGCACACATTTCCTTAATCTTTGAAGTAGACAACTTCTTCAATTTCTCTATCTCCTCCTCCGGAGCAGTTTCCTCAGGTGTGGCCTCTTGCTGTTGAAGATGATCTAGCAGCTCATCAGTGGTTAGTTCATCATTGTCCTCCTCCATCAACTCTTACACATCCTCCCCACTAACCTCCAACCCCAAGGACTTCCATAATGCCACACTGGATTCCTCAACTAGCATAGGCTTCTCAGGGTTAGCCTCAAGCCCTTTGAAATCCCTTTTGTCTACACATTCTGGCCACAGTTTTTTCCAGGCAGAGTTCAAGGTCCTCTTAGTCACTCCCTCCCAAGCCTTACCTATAAGGTTTACACAATTGAGGATATTAAAATGATCCTTCCAAAACTCCTTTAGAGTCAATAGAGTATCTGTGATCACTTCAAAGCACCTTTCAAACACCCTTGGTCTCGAAGGGCTGGCACTAGGAGCTTTCTTGGGGCCCATGGTGACTTATTTTGTAGAAACAAGCACCAAAAACAGTGATAATATGGATAATATGGAATGTACCGAATGTATCCTTAGATGCGCGCACACTGGCTGGCTTGTAAACACTGGCACACACGGGGCAGTTCAGGCCACACGTGGACACGTCTCGTATAAATCGCATCACATACCGGGTTTTGTAACGGGAACCGAGGCAAATTTTCTGCGATATAATGCATCGGTTACCGGATTTATCGGATACCGATAGCATCACGAACCGGGGGTCCACTGTACTTATACAGACTTAATAGCATGATTAAAAAATCTTATGCTGATGTAATAGGTAACATGAATAAAATCATTATTTAGGATCCTACTGGAAAACTGTATATCAAGCATAAAGAAGATATGACAGTTATTTTAAGTACAAGTTTAATTTTTAATACAACTTTTTCAGGTGTTAATGTTTACCTTATGGAACGTTTTTCTCCAGTGCAAGGTTGCTACAAATCCCCATGGGCTGTCAAGAAACCAAACAGGTAAAGTGTTGTATATCCCAGTTAATTTAAACACTTGTTTAATGCAGATGAGTCAAAGGTATTAAAAATACATACAAAAAGCAATATCATACCCAAAATGCATTACACAGGTGTAAGGTTGGGGTTAATTATACTGCCTGTGACATACCTCTGACCAATTTTGAGTTTTTTTTTTTCCTTGCCTATGGTCAGATTTCCTTGTTAATGGCCTGGTCAATTAGGTAGTTGCTACTAGTAGCTCACAAGCCACCACAACCTGGCCAGTCAGGCACCTAAAGCAGAAAGTGGCACAAGTTTCCTCTTGAAAACTTCTGTCAGATATTAATTTTTGTAAATCCAGTAAGTATTAAATTTCATATGGACTGAAAAGGATAGCTATATTGTTAGGAGTTAGTATTTAATAATAGACTCGAAGAAAGGAAAGGTGATAGGTATAGGCAAGTCTCCTTTGTGTAATGTATTTTATATTTGATTAACTTCACCCTTAAAGAAGGTTACTTGATGTTGGTGAGGAGTTGTTGATCTAAGGAATTGGACCAATACAGTCTCTCCTCAGTGACGTGCTCGTTTACTGACAACTTGGACTTACAATGGGCACTCTGACCAGTATGCATAGCTAAATAATGTATATTAGAGCTGATTCCCTGTATTCTGTATAAATATTTAAAAATATGCCAGAAATTTTATAAATGGTGCAAAGATGACATTAAACACAAACACACTACCAATATAATATGGTCCTCACTTAGCGATGAATTCGTTTTACTACGTGGTATTAGGAACAGAACTTCATCGTTAAGTGAGGAGAGACTGTACTTCAGTTCCTTGAATCAAGCCTAATGCCTTCCATTCCCTGAGGCACTGTATGACCTCCTGTGGGTTTAGTGCTCCCCCATTAATGTAATAATAATACTTTAACTAAGTGTTTACTTTGCTATGCCATCTTGTATGTATGCTGTTTCATTGGTGATTCTTTCTTTTTTATTAACAGGAGGGTGAAAGACGAAGATGAGAAATATGTTAAGAGATTAAATTATGAAGCGGATATTCTGAAGTCACTGAAACACCAAAATATAATTGGTTATCGCTCCTATTCTTACCAGAAGGATGGTACTCAGTGTCTAGTCATGGAGAGTGGGGAAAAGTCCCTGGCTGATATCATTGAGAGCAGACAGGTTGATGAACTTGGACCACTTCCATCTTCACAAATTTTGAAAGTAAAAATTCATATTTTTAGTATAACAGCTCATTATACAATTTTATACTGATATCATTTCTAGGATTGTAAACCTTTACATTCTATTTCTTTATTCATCAACCCCCTTCAAGGGAAGTATCTCTTTGATACAAAAAACTGGACTTATCTTTTGTTGAACTTGATTGCCTTCCATTTCCCAGGTGTTATGTCACTCGTACAGGCTTAGCACTTCCACCTAACTAAAATTAATTCACTCACTGACTTCGACAGAAGGATCCCCAAGAAAAATTCATCCATTTGGGGAGGTCATTATCATAATTGTCAGTGCTTTCCATTATATTTTGATCTACTCCATTACACCTGAATTCAAAATTCATCGAATATTGTTTAAAATTTGTAGGGAAGGTCCCCTGAGGTGACAGATGGCTACCCAGCAGCTGCTTCTCCTGTACACCTTCCAGGAGAACACACTGCAGAAAAGGGAAGTCACCCTGTTTGAGGACTGTATATGCTCATCAGTGTTCATGTGTATTTTGTTTGTGTATCTCCTAGTTTTATCATGTATGACATGATACATTGCAAAGGAGTCTCTGGCATTGTCAGGGTGTCTAGCTGTGCATCTAACCTCCCACTGCTTTCTTGAAACAATGTTGTGGTGTTGTCAGTAAACCCTGACTGTTATCTGTACATTCTTCCTCCAGACCATTCCACAGTCATGAAAAAAGTCTTTTTGTTTTATAAAACAAACAAGACAGAAAGCCTGTACAAGATTATTGAAGATAATTGTGTTAAGATTATTAACCTTGATGGTTAGTAACCCAGGATAACCCAACCAAAACACTGTCATTAGACTTTCTTAACCTTTTTACCCTGGGGGTCCTTCAGTCCTCTTTAGCCTGACACCAGTTGGCTAACACCCAGGTACCTACTTGATGCTAGGTGAACAGGGTCAGTCAGTGTAAGGAAACATCCCCAACATTTTTACTTGTTCAAAGATTGAACCCTGGTCCCCCAGTGCAAGAGCTGAGGCCTCTACCAATTTTATCACAACCACCTTTACTGTGTTTACTTCTGGATCGTTTAGCAGTTTTAAAGTGTTTAGTGGACTATAACATAAAGTTCATGCAGGCTCAGGAAATTTTCCTGGTAAGCTGAAGGAAATTATTTCTGAGGGTGGGTTATATGTCAGGAGGCCTGGTCACAGACCGAGCCATGGGGGCGTTGACCCCCGGAACTCTCTCCAGGTAAACTCCAGGTAAATATGTACTAGTACATACATCCATAAAAGGGTTGTAGTATCTGGTGGAACACTTTTAACCCTTTGACTGTTTTGGTCGTATATATACGTCTTACAAGCCACCGTTTTTGACATGTATATACTCATAAATCCTAGCGGCTTCAAATCAAGCAGGAGAAAGCTGGTAGGCCCATATGTTAGAGAATGGGTCTGTGTGGTCAGTGTGGGCCATATAAAAAAAATCCTGCAGCATGCAGTGCATAATGGGAAAAAAAAACTCCGACCGTTGTGGTCTATTTTCGTATAGTATTTATGGTTGTATTCTCGTTTTCTTGGTCTCATTTGATAGAATGGAAAACATATTATAGAAATAGAGGTGATTTTGATTGGTTTTACTATGAAAAGAACCTTAAAATGGAGCTCAAAGTAGGGGAAATGTTTGATTTTTGCCTGTGTTCAAAGGTAAACAAATAATGTCATTTTCCAATAAATGTCCAAGTAGCCATTCTAATATGCAGTGATGAATGGGTTGACATTATTTATACAATTATTACAATACTGCAGTAGTCTGCATAACAGTAAATCTTCTATTTTTTGTTTGAATAAAAATTCAAAACAGAAAGCAAGAGTAATATCAGAGGGGCCTGGAGACGTGACTGATGAACAAAGAAAATGTTATTTTTGGAGCCAGGAGTGTCTGCATTGTTCATTCTGGACCCTATTTTGAAATTGTCATATTTTTTAATTCGTGAAATTGGCCAAATTGCCAATTTCTGACCACGTTATTGGGTAGTTGAAATCAGTAAATGGGCAGTTTCTTGTACTCAATCGATAGAAAAAATGTAGTTCTAAAGAAATAGCTATGAGTTTGGTCGACTGGAACAATGGAATTAGCCAAAAATAGGGCTCAAAGTGGGTGAAATCGCCGATTCGTAAATATCGCCGAGGTTGCTAACTTCGCGAGTGCGTAATTCCGTCAGTTTTCTATCAGATTTCATTCTTTTGGTGTCATTACAATCGGGAAAAGATTCTCTGTCATTTCATAAGAAAATATAATATATTTTTTTTTTTTTTAAATTTTGCGTCACCAGGAGACACCTCAGGATTTGGGGTTGCGACAGTCAAGGGGTTAATCTTTGGAGGTGAGTCATGGGTTTATGGGTATATGGTACAGGAAGTGTGTTGGTGCTAGCCCAGGCCAGGCCAGGCCAAGGGCATAGAGATAGAGAGTTGAATGAGAACATCTTAGTACTGTTGGGTCTGTTGAGCGAGTGAGAAAGAAACAGTATCTTGTGGACTGAGGTTTAGGTAGAACCAGGCCCACCAGGTGGCAGCACCAGGCTCAAGGTGACATGGCGTGAAATATAATTCTCAACAAGGGTTACACACAATGATTTTTTTCATTGTCTAAACTTTACTACAGTACAGGTATTGTATTGGGCAACATAAACTAAAATGTTAGGCAAGAAAAAGCATTATTTTTGAAGAATTAAGAAGCTAAAAAAATGACATTTTTTGGAGGCATCATGAATGCAGTCCTATTTTCAATATGTGTTCTCATAGGTAGTGCCAATTACCAGAATTTTATAAAAAAAATTCTCTTTTTTTTTTATAAAATGTTCTGGTTTTTGGTATATAATCACTTAGCATGTGCATGCATATAACTTTCTAACCCTTTGAGGGAACAAGCTGTAGATTTATGCATTGTTCACAGGGTCCAAGAATTTTCAAAAAAAAAAATTATTTTTTCTTATAAAATGATAGAGAATCTCATTCTGAAGGTAATAAAACAAAAAGTGCGAAATTTGGTGGAAAACTGATGAAATTACACTTACTGCGAATTTTACTGTCAGTGATATTTACTCATCGGCAATTGTGCCCACTTTGACTCCTATTTTAGGCCAATTACATTATTCCAGTAGACCAAATTCTTAGCTATTTCGTTAGTATTACTTCTATTGTATCGATTAAGCACAAGAAACTGCCCAATCAACTATTTCAGCTACCCAATAAAGTGATCAAAAATTGGTAATTTGGCCAATTTCACACAAAGTTCAAAATATTCCAATTTCAAAACAGGGTCAAGAATAAACAATGCAGGCATTCCTGGCACTAAAATAACATTTCCTCTGTTTATTAGTTATGTTTCCAGGCTCTACAGATGAATTTCATTTTTATTTTTTATTTGTATAAAGAATTTTTATTCACACCAAAAAATAGATGAATTACTCTTATGCAGTGTTCTAATAATTGTATAAACAATATCAATGCATTTGTAAATGTATATTAGACCCACCAGTTGACGTGTATTGGACACGTGATGTGATTTGTTTACTCTTGAAAATCGGCAAAAATCAAACATTTCCACTACTTTGAGCTCAATTACAAGCTACAGTGTATTTTCAGTACTAAAACCAATCAAAATTATCTGTATTTCTGTAATACATCTTTCACTCTATCAAATGAGGCCAAGGAACCGCGAATACAACTGTAAAAGCCATGTGAAAATACACCACATTTTGCTGTTTTAATCCAAAAACACGGTCAGTTTTTTTTTTCATTATGCACTATGTGCTTCAAGATTTGCTTTATATAGTGCACACTTACCACATAGATGCATTCTCTTATATCTAGGCCCAAATTTACTAATCACAGCCTATCTTTGTGAACTGAGTTCATGGTATAGTTTTCATGAAAACCTTCAAATTTTTGTTTTTCTATATTTGCAAAGTCTCCAGTTTTTTGGTTTTGCATTGGTGGTGATGAGCACCCTGTCTCTGCCCCACTCTTGTGTGTCCCTTGTTGTTTACAATACAGTATGGCCCTCAATTTTGATGATCTGACTTTTGATGATCCAGAGTTTCAAGCTGAGGCACTTATATACTAATTTCTTATGAATGGTGATCTGCAGATACAAACATTGTAAACACTGAGACAAGTTATTTTCAATTACTTTTCTACAGGGTATTTTTATTTTGTGTATCATTTTATGCATGTGTGGAAGGCTCATGTTTGTTTAATTGAGATAGTTTAAAAACTGTACAGTTAATAATTACTGTCAAAATTTATCAAGATCTAATTCAGTATTTTTTATTTATGTTTTTTACAAAAAGTGCATTGATTTTGTCATATTTTTGTGCATGTGTAATGGGCTAAGGTTTGTTTGATAGAAATTGGTCAAGAGATGTATAATTTTATAATTGCCTTCAACTTTTAGGTGAGAACTGTGTCACATTATCCAATATGTGTCAGCACTGAGGTGTGTCAGTCTAACACACTTGCACCACACTACTCCCTCCCTTAAATACTGCAGTCATGCCTCCAACAACCTTCACCAGTGCCTTCAGCAAGCTACTGAAAGGGTGGAAAATATTTTCAAAGAGTGATGTCACACAAGAGGGAGGGAGGGAGGGAGGGCAGTAAGGAAGGGGAGAAAGGAAGGGAAGTTTGGAGTGAGTGAAGGGGATAGGGAACAGGTGAGAGAGGCAAGCCTGTTGTTAGCACTTGTGTTGTTAGACATGATGGCAGAGGGAGGGAGGGAATGCGGAGGATAGGGGGTCAGAAAGAGGAAAGGAAGGTAAACATAAGAACATAAGAAACAAGAAATACTGTAGCAGGCCTACTGGTCCATGTGAGGCAGGTCCAAGTCTCCTACTGGCTTAAGCCAATGCCCTAACCTAGTCAAGTCAGATCACATTCACTTAAGGAAGGAGTATGGTATCTGACCTAGTAGCACAAGCTAGTCAGGTCCAACTCACACACCCGCACCCACTCATGCATTTATCTAACCTATCTTTAACCCCTTGACTGTCGCAACCCCAAATCCTGAGGTGTCTCCTGGTGTCTCAAAATTTCTGAAAAAAAAATTATTTTTTCTTATGAAATGATAGAGAATCTTTTCCTGATTGTAATGACACCAAAAGAATGAAATTTGATGGAAAACTGACGGAATTACACACTTGCGAAGTTAGCGACCTTGGCGATATTTACGAATTGGCGATTTCGCCCACTTTGAGCCCTATTTTCAGCTAATTTCATCGTTCCAGTCGACCAAACTCATAGCTATTTCTTTAGAACTCCATTTTTTCTATCAATTGAGTACAAGAAACTGCCCATTTACCGATTTCAACTATCCAATAACGTGGTCAGAAATTGGCAATTTGGTCAATTTCATGCAAATTAAAAAATATGACAATTTCAAAATAGGGTCCAGAATGAACAATGCAGACATTCTTGGCTCTAAAATAACATTTTCTTCGTTCATCAGTCACATCTCCAGGCCCCTCTGATATTACTCTTGCTTTCTATTTTGAATTTTTATACAAACAAAAAATAGAAGATTTACTGTTATGCAGACTACTGCAATATTGTAATAGTAATTGTATAAATAACGTCAACCCATTCATGACTGCATATTAGAATGGCTACTTGGACATTCATTGGAAAATGACATCATTTGTTTACTTTGAACATTGGCAAAAATCAAACATTTCCCCTACTTTGAGCTCCATTTCAAGGTTCTTTTCCTAGTAAAACCAATCAAAATCACCTCTAGTTCTTTAATATGTTTTCCATTCTATCAAATAAGACCAAGAAAACAAGAATACAACCATAAATACTATATGAAAATAGACCACAAAGTCGTCATTTTAATTAAAAAAAACAGTCGGAGTTTTTTTCTCATTATGCACTGCGTGCTCCAGGATTTCTTTTATATGGTTCACACTGACCACACAGACCCATTCTCTCACATGTGGACCTACCAGCTTTCTCCTGCTTGATTTGAAGCCGCTAGAATTTGAGTGTATATATGTCAAAAACGGTGGCGCATAAGACATATATATACAACCGAAACAGTCAAAGGGTTAAAACTACATAACATTTTAGCCTCTATAACTGTACTTGGGAGCTTGTTCCACTCATCCATAACTCTATTACCAAACCAGTGCTTTCCTATATCCTTCTGAATCTGATTTTTTTCCATCTTAAAGCCATTGCTGCGAGTCCTGTCTAAGCTAGATATTTTTAGTACGCTATTTACATCCCCTTTATTTATTCCTGTCTTCCATTTATACACCTCAATCATATCCCCCCAAACTCTACGCCTTTCTAGAGAGTGAAGATTCAGGGCCCTCAGTCTGTCATCATAGGAAAGATTTCTGATACTTGGGATCAACTTTGTCATCCTCCTTTGTATGTTTTCCAGAGCATTTATATCCATTGTGTAATACAGTGACCAAAACTGTGCAGCATAATCTAGATGAGGTCTAACCAAGAATATATAGAGTTGAAAACAACAACCTGAGGACTCCTATTATTTATGCTTCTCAATGTGAAGCCAAGGATTCTGTTTGCTTTATTGCGAACACTTATGCACTGTTGTCTTAGTTTTAGATTACTGCTAACCAGAACTCTCAAATCCTTTTTGCAATCAGTAATAGTAAGAGCTACATTATTTAGTTTGTGTGGCATGGTTATTTTCCTGCCCAATGTTTAGAACTTTGCACTTGTCTATATTAAACTGCATTTGCCACTTCTCTGACCATTGCATCAGTCTATTCAAATCTTCCCAGAGTGTTTTAATGTCCTCATCAGAACGAATTGGACGGCCTATTTTGGTGTCATCAGCAAACTTGCTAATGTTGCTATTTATTCCTTCATCTATGTCGTTTATGTAGATTGTGAACAACAAGGGGCCCAACCCTGACCCCTGTGAAACACCACTCGTGTTGCTTCCCCACTCTGATTTCTCCCCATTTATGCAAACTCTCTGCTGCCTATTTGTCAACCATACCTCTATCCATGAAAAAATTTCTCCTATTCCGTGTGCCTTAATTTTCCTCAATAGTTTCTGTGGGACTCTATCAAAAGCCTTACTGAAGTCCATATACACCTATCGTGATTTGGGGACCTGTAATTCACACCCAAGATTAGTTTTTCACGGCCCTTGAGAAGCTGTAGCCAAACAGATTTAGTGGCTGACTCTTCTCATTTTATATCTTGTCTAACACAACAATTTAAATTGTCTCTGACATACATCTCTACTGCATCACCCTTCCCATTGACCCTATCAGTGTGGAATAATTTATAGCCTTGTATGTGACATTCAGAGGGCATCTCTCTATCTTTCTGATTGAGCCAGGTCTCTGTTATAGCAATAATATCTATGTTTCCTGCACTTGCAATTACTCATAGTTCATCTGTCTTATTTCTTACACTCCTGCTATTATTATAGTAAACCTTAAGGGAGCTAGTCTCTTGCTGCCCTCTGCTGTCTCCCTTTGTTTGCTGGCCTGATCCATTGTCTTTATTTATAACTTTATGATGAATGTCTTTTATACATTTACTGTTTTCAACCATAGTGTTGCAACCTGGCTGTTTCCCACATCACCCATACCTCTGTCTTTTATCAGCAATGGCCCTCTCAATCGAGTTTGTAAGTGCTACCACCCCTGCCCCAGAGAGATGTACCCCATCCCTTGCCATAAAAGTTGTCCGAGTTGTCAATGAATGGGATTGCAAGTTCCTTGCAGTATCTGTTTAGCCAGCAATTTACACCAATTGCCCTAGACAATCATTCAGTGCCCACTCCCCTTCTAGGCAAGATGCTACATATGATTAGGACCCCTCCCTTAGACTTAACTAAATCTATTGCTGACCTGTACTTATCTAGCAGCTCTTTTCTCCTACCCTTCCCAGTATCATTTTCACCAGCACTGAGATAATGGGCTTGTTCCCATTACCTAACATGATATTATCCAACCTGTTGACTGTGTCACCAACACCAGCTCCAGGGAAGCACTCTCTCTCTCTCTCACGTTCTTATTCCTATTACAGAAAGCACAGTCCATATATCTTACCTGTGAGTCCCCAACCACAAGAATTTGCTTACCTCTATTTGCAGGGGAAGTAGTACCTTTACCTTCACTGGCCACTGAAGTCCACTCATCCTGAAGAACAGAGAAGCGATTTCCTACCTTCAAATCTTCTCTCTTATCTTTCCTTATTTTAATGCTCCTCCCCTTACTGGGAACCACTCGCCACTTGTAGCAGGTGCTGAACTGCACCTCAGTGCTGGTAGCCTTTTTGTCCTCCCTCCCTTCAACCTCCTCGCAGCAAGTGACAGACTGCACCTCACCGCTGGTAGCCTCATTCCCCTCAGCCACTCCAGCCACCTCACACTCACTCCCAAACCCATCAAGGTGAACGTTCAGCCTCCTAATTTCCTCCTGGAGAAGCAGGACCTCCTCCTTCAACACTCCAACCTCAGATTTTAAAACACTGCAGCAAGCCATGGCTCTGTAACCGTCCACGCTAATGCCCAAAGCAGCTCAGGGCCTGTGACCTCTCGTGATGACTGACCACTGAATTCATTTGAATGTTGCCTTTTAGATTGTAGTAAGCAAATTTAATTAGATAAAAAATATTATGGCCTAGAACTGCTCCCATTATAATGTTGGTTTACAGGAAAAAATGGGTTTCACATTCCAACCTCCTCCTGTCTCCTGAGTAACAAACTACTGTTGCTTATTCCTCTTCGTTAAGTATAGCCCTGCACTAGTGTGGTATTTTCAACATTTTTTACTCATATTACATTCAATTCTGTAATTAACTTCTGACCCTGTAAGGGTCAGCCTTTGAGGCTGGTGAAGGGCTACTGATCCAAAACATTGGAGTTATCCTACCTTTCCTCAGATAAATATGTTTACCTGTCATTCTCCAGGTGTTGCATGACTGGCAGGTTAGTTACTTTTCCACAGATATGATAGCAATCTTTTTTATTATCTCTTAACATTAATAATTATTACAGTATGGTACTATATTATAATTGGTAGATTGTGTTGCCCAAGGTTCTGAAAATATGGGCTTTGTAAGAAGTTATTATGCATGTTATGTCTATGTTGTTCCCTACCAATATTTATAATGTTTTTTTGTCAAAAAAGTCTCAATTTAAATTATTTTGGCTCCTATGTGGTCAAAACAATCTTTGTACCATTTTTTATCCTATATTTTCTAGGTGGCTTGGGATGTTTGTTCAGCACTGGTGTACCTTCATGAAGAAAAGCACTTGCTGCATGGTGACCTTAAGAGTCCTAACATCCTCATCAAAGGCAACTTTGAGATAGCCAAACTCTGTGACTTTGGAGTAACATTAAAACTTGATGACAAGGTGAGTCTTGTAAACAGTATTTCTTTATTTTATCTCTCTATATGGAGGAGGGCCCTGCTTATACAGCCGGTTAGGTTCCGAGCTACTGCTGCAAAATGAAAAACAGTGTAGAGAGAAACATAGCCATTTTTTTCACTTTCAAATACATATAAAAGCTTGATAACATGTTTACACTATCATATACATGTAGTGACTACTTCACTGGCCTTGCGTTAGTACAGTGGACCCCCGGTTCGGGATGCTATCGGTATCCGATAAATCCGGTAACCGATGCATTATATCGCAGAACATTTGCCTCGGTTCCCGTTACAAAACCCAGTATGCGATGCGGTTCGTACGAGACGTGTCCATGTGTGGCCTGAACTGCCCCGCGTGTGCCAGTGTTTACAAGCCAGCCAGTGTGCGCAAATCTAAGGATACATTCAGTACATTCCATATTATCCATCCATATTATCACTGTTTTTGGTGCTTGTTTCTGCAAAATAAGTCACCATGGGCCCCAAGAAAGCTCCTAGTGCCAACCCTTCGAGACCAAGGGTGCTAATGACTGTTGAAATGAAGAAAGAGATAATTGCAAAGTGCGAAAGTGGAGTGCGTGTGTCGGAGCTGGTCAGGTTGTATAGTAGACCCCAATCAACCATCTCTACTATAGTGACCAGGAAAACAGCAATCAAGGAAGCTGTTCTTGCAAAAGGGGGCAACTGTGATTACGAAACAGCGACCGAATGTTAGAAAATGTTTTAAAATGTTATTTGGGGTGGATAATGAAAAAACAGATAGCAGGAGATAGCATCTCTCAAGCGATCATTTGTGAAAAGGCTAGGCAGTTGCATGACAATTTGGTAAAAAAATTGCCTGCAACTAGTGGTGATGTGAGTGAATTTAAGGCCAGCAAAGGTTGGTTTGAAAGATTTAAGAATCATAGTGGCATACATAGTGTGATTAGGCATGGTGAGGCTACCAGTTCAGACCACAAAGCGGCTGTATCTCTGTATCTCTTTCAATCTGTCTCTCTCTGTCTGTCTATCTCTGTCTCACAGGTACACATAAATACAAGTATATACAGTGGACCCCCGCATAACGATCACCTCCGATTGCGACCAATTATGTAAGTGTATTTATGTAAGTGCGTTTGTACGTGTATGTTTGGGGGTCTGAAATGGACTAATCTACTTCACAATATTCCTTATGGGAACAAATTCGGTCAGTACTGGCACCTGAACATACTTCTGGAGTGAAAAAATATCGTTAACCGGGGGTCCACTGTATAGTGTAAATTACCTAGGATAACCCAAAAAATCCAGACAAAGTGCTATACTCTGCTTGAAGATATGAGTAAAGGTGATGATGCAGTCTTGTGGCTCTCTCTGAGACAGAGAGCTAGACAGATAGACAGGGAGCTTGAGAGACAAATAGACAGAAAGACATGTTTATGTACCAGCAAAAACAAAGTGAGGGCGATGCTCATCAAATATCACCTCTAATCTTTTCTTATCTGCTGCACCCTCCCCCACCCTTGTGTATGCTCATCAAATGTCAGCTCTTATCAGATGTTATCTCATCTTATCATGTCACTGTCAGGGGTGGACTTTGTTTTTCATGCTTCAAGGGAACTTACTATTTTTTTTTTTCAACAAGTCGGCTGTCTTCCACCGAGGCAGGGTGACCCAAAAAAGAAAGAAAATCCCCAAAAAGAAAATACTTTCATCATCATTCAACACTTTCACCACACTCACACATTATCACTGTTTTTGCAGAGGTGCTCAGAATACAACAGTTTAGAAGCATACACATATAAAGATACACAACATATCCCTCCAAACTGCCAATATCCCAAACCCCTCCTTTAAAGTGCAGGCATTGTACTTCCCATTTCCAGGACTCAAGTCCGACTATATGAAAATAACCGGTTTCCCTGAATCCCTTCACTAAATATTACCCTGCTCACACTCCAACAGATCGTCAGGTCCCAAGTACCATTCGTCTCCATTCACTCCTATCTAACACTCTAACACGCTCACGCATGCTTGCTGGAAGTCCAAGCCCCTTGCCCACAAAACCTCCTTTACCCCCTCTCTCCAACCCTTTCGAGGACGACCCCTACCCCTCCTTCTTTCCCCTATAGATTTATATGCTTTCCATGTCATTCTACTTTGATCCATTCTCTCTAAATGACCAAACCACCTCAACAACCCCTCTTCTGCCCTCTGACTAATACTTTTATTAACTCCACACCATTTCCTAATTTCCACACTCCGAATTTTCTGCATAATATTTACACCACACATTGCCCTTAAACACTGCCTCCAACTGTCTCCTCGCTGCTGCATTTACAACCCAAGCTTCACACCCATATAAGAGTGTTGGTACTACTATACTTTCATACATTCCCTTCTTTACCTCCATAGATAACATTTTTTGACTCCACATATACCTCAATGCACCACTTGCCTTTTTTCCCTCATCAATTCTATGGTTAACCTCATCCTTCATAAATCCATCCGCCGACACGTCAACTCCCAAGTATCTGAAAACATTTACTTCTTCCATACTCCTCCTCCCCAATTTGATATCCAATTTTTCTTTATCTAAATCATTTGGTACCCTCATTACCTTACTATTTTCTTTGTTCACTTTCAACTTTCTACCTTTACACACATTCCCAAACTCATCCAATAACCTTTGTAATTTTTCTTTAGAATCTTCCATAAGCACAGTATCATCAGCAAAAAGTAACTGTGTCAATTCCCATTTTGAATTTGATTCCCCAAAATTTAATCCCACCCCTCTCCCGAACACCCTAGCATTTACTTCCTTTACAACCCCATCTATAAATATATTAAACAACCATGGTGGCACTACACATCCCTGTCTAAGACCTTCTTTTACCAGGAAGTAGTCTCCCTCTCTTCTACACACCCTAACCTGAGCCTCACTATCCTCATAAAAACTCTTTGCAGCATTTAATAACTTACCACCTATTCCATATACTTGCAACATCTGCCACATTGCTCCTCTATCCACTCTATCATATGCCTTTTCTAAATCCATAAATGCAATAAAAACTTCCCTACCTTTATTTAAATACTGTTCACATATATGCTTCAATGTAAACACTTGATCTACACATCCCCTACCCACTCTGAAACCTCCTTGCTCATCCGCAATCCTACATTCTGTCTTACCTCTAATTCTTTCAATTATAACCCTACAGTACACTTTTCCTGGTATACTCAGTAAACTTATTCCTCTATAATTTTTACAATCTCTTTTGTCCCCTTTCCCTTTATATAAAGGGACTATACATGCTCTCCGCCAATCCCTAGGTACCTTTCCCTCTTCCATACATTTATTAAACAAAAGTACCAACCACTCCAACACTATATCCCCCCCTGCTTTTAACATTTCTGTCATGATCCCATCAGTTCCAGCTGCTTTACCCCCTTTCATTCTACGTAATGCCTCGTGTACCTCCCCCACACTTACATTCTGCTCTTCTTCACTCCTAAAAGATGGTATACCTCCCTGACCAGTGCATGAAATTACTGCCTCACTTTCTTCCTTAACATTTAAAAGTTTCTCAAAATATTCTCGCCATCTACCTAATACCTCCATCTCCCCATCTACTAACTCCCCTACTCTGTTTTTAACTGACAAATCCATAATTTCCCTAGCTTTCTTAACTTGTTTAACTCACTCCAAAATTTTTTTTATTTTCATTAAAATTATCTTGACAGTGCCTCTCCCACTCTTCATCTGCTCTCTTTTGCACTCTCTACCACTCTCTTACCTTTTATTACTATTATTATTATTACCTATTAGTATTATTATTATTCTCCCCCTCCTCTTCCTCCTCCTTGCCCTCCTCCCCTCCTCTTCCTCCTCTTCCTCCTCTTCCTCCTCCTCCTCTTCCTCTTCCTCTCTTCCTCCTCCTCTTCCTTCTCTTCCTCCTCCTCTTCCTCTCTTCCTCCTCCTCTTCCTCCTCTTCCTCCTCTTCCTCCTCCTCTTCCTCCTCCTCTTCCTCCTCTTCCTTATCCTCTTCCTCCTCCTCTTCCTCCTTCTCTTCCTCCTCCTCCTCCTCCTCCTCATTGTTATTATATACTTCCACATATCCAAAACATTGCTGGAACATATAAATACTTTGTATATATTCCAAGACAATAGTAAATGACCAAGGCAGGTGTAAATGTCCACCTGTCAGTGTGTTTGTGACAATTTGAGTACAATTTCAGTACCTAATACTAGTGTCAGAACAAAGATTGGTTATGAAATGACAAGAACTTACAAATTGTAATTATCAGAACATAAAAATTACATAAAATAATATGAAAAATAGAAAAAAAGGTATATCGGCAACACTTCTGCTGTCACATGAGCATCCAGTGCCAACTTCTCGGCCTCATATCTCGGTAAGCACTGACCCTATTTTTTTTTATTCTAAAACATGTAAAAAAATGTGTTCTTTTTTTTCTATAATTTTTTTTTTTTTTTTTTTTTTTTTTGAAAATATTCGGGGTGCTGCGCGAGTGAACGTATATATACGTTTGGATCGTTTAACCCTTTCAGGGTGCAGAGGCCAAATTTCAAAGTGTGCACCAGGGTCCAAGAAATGGTAGATAATCTTTTTCTGAAGATAATAAAGCAAAAAGTACGAAATTTGATGGAAAATTGACGAAATTATGCTCTCGCGAATTTTGATGTGTCGGCGATATTTACACATCGGAGATTTTGCCGACTTTGACTCCCATTTTAGGGCAATTACAGTATTCCAGTCAACCAAATTCTTAGCTATTTCACTAGTATTACTTCTATTCTATCGATTGAGCACAAGAAATCTCCAAGTCAACTGTTTCAACAACAAAATAAAGTGACCGGAAATTGGTAATTTGGCCAATTTAATGCAAAGTTCAAAATATTGTAATTTCAAAATAGGGTCCAGAATAAACAGTGCAGGCATTCCTGGCACTAAACTAACATTTCCTCTGTTCATTAGTTATGTT